TAAACAGAAAACAAATAACGAACAACACGAACCCAATTCAAAACGTGTAGTAATCTCAGGTGCTCCAGAAGGGTAAGCAGATCCTTCTCCACTTGTTGCATTAACCTTTATAAAGAAATGTTAAGATTTGTGATCCATTATGGCCTACTTGATTAAGTGTATACTTAAATGTTAGATTCCCTAGTAATTCTTGTCCTTGTATTGCATAGCGGATGATGCATGCATAGCCGTTCGGTATCTCTCTTTTTTGAATTCCTGAGTTTTTGTTTTTGTTTTGGAAGCTTGATTTGAAAATTTATTTATGAATTTAAACATCGCTAAACTACGTTTGTTTAAATCAAGTTTCCATTTCCGAACAGCCTAAGTGCATCTATTCAGTGGCTGTAACTTTTAGCTCTTCACCATCATATCTTAGCTGTTCATTCATGTTGTGTTACTGATTTCATTTCAATGTATTTACTAGTACTTTTTTCATAAAATCTCTTTTTGTTAGAATTAACTTAACTGCATTGGAAAACTTTATCACACGCATTCAAAAATGCCTCGCATTAAAATTAGATGTTCATCAGTCTAAAACTATAGCTCTGTGATATATTTACTGTTCTTTAATTTTAAGTAGTACCTGACAACTAGAAAGCGATACATTTTGAAAAAAACAATGGATATGTCTATCATTTTGTAACATATTATATGTGTTTCATGCTAAATTACCTTACATTTTAATTTGTTTTGTTTTAAATTTTCTAAACGTAATACTAAAACATTAAAGATGACAGGTTGACTTTTAAATCATGAGATAATATATTCAGTAGATACAAAGAATAGACTGTCAACTTAATAGTAAAACCGTCAGCCAATAAGAAGAATTTTGGCGACAAAATTGTTTCGAAAAATTAATTTAAATTTTTTTCAAATACGAATGTCTGAACCTGCTTAATTATTTAAAATTGAGTGAACAGATGCATTTAATTTATATAGATACAAGGGAAAGAGGACGGCATTTTAATGAAGACAATTAGAACAAATCCTCGCTTATTTGTATCACAGCATTTCCGTGACGTTCAATCAACTTGCGATGACGTTCCTAAATACTTTCGAAGAGATGACTTCAACTATACCAGCACTGACCCCTTGTCCGGATTGGGCTATACTTTAGGTTCTTTTTTACTTTCATATCAAATTAAAAAAGGAAATGATTTACTCTTAATCTGCATATTAGATGATTTGAAAGAGTGAAAGTTTAAAGCTAATTGAAAAGGATGTGACTTGATGAAGCAATAATTGACATGATACATTTTGAGTCAAATGCCAAAGGAGATCTTGTCACGTGAATAATGATAATAATGAAGACATATGATGAGAAATAATAAAGTTTACAAAATATATACAAATATATACTAGTTGTTATTAATGCCGTGTAAATTCTGTAATCACGATGGATACTAATTCTAATTCTCTATAAACTTACTAGTTCGCTACTCCGAAGATTAATTGCTCCCGATAAGTATGGCTTACTTTATTATAAGTCATTGTAAAATCATTTTTATCACATCACTATATTCCTAGGTAACTCCTATTGCTGAGTTGACCTAGAAGTACAGTAATGATAATTATAAAAAAGAAGATGTGGTATGATTGCCAATTAGACAACTCTCCACAAGAGACCAAAATGACACAGAAATTGACAACTATAGGTCACCGTACGGCCTTCAACAATGAGCAAAGCCCATACCGCATAGTCAGCTATAAAAGGTCAACTCTGTAGTTATTAGTTCAAAAACGCGTTTATAACATGTAAGCATTAGGCATGTTCGAGGGTCGTCATGTTTCCTCCGTGTTTCTTTACCGGTTTTCTGTCTATTCAACACTTAAAAACTGACAGCCATACCTGAGTTAAAAACACCCAAACAAAGAGACAAAATGACGATTTTTTTACGTTTATACTATTAAACATTTTGAAAGCTTTTAAGATATTCAGATTATTTAATTTCTGTTTGACATAAATAAAGGACATAGTTGAAGAGAGAGGTAGAGTATACAAAGGGGACAATAAAAACTCAAAGTCTTAAAAAATTGGTCAATCTCATGTCCACAAGGTAAAACTACGAAAAGACAAAGAACTTTCTAAAAAAAGGACTACACAAAAAAATAAAAGAATGATCCACACGCATATATGTTTGTGTCTTTTTTGAGCCAATTATTGTTATATTATAACTCGGGAAATGCCTGTACAAATTCAGAAACGTGACAGTTGTTTCCATTCGTTCCGTTGGATGGTAAAGTATAATGATTTTGTCAGTTTATATGGACTTTTTGAATTCTCCTTGGAGTTTAGTATTTTTGTTAATACCTTTGTATCTTAAGGTTTCTGACATTTCTGGTTTGTACTTTACATTTCATCTTGCTTTGTTATAAACTTTTTAAACGTGAAAATGTATATTCAGAAGATTCAAAGCATAGTCTTTCGATCAATGGTAGCTTGGGTGTCTTTATGTCGACGATAGATTTTTCTTAAACTTTTGTAATCGATTTCAGGGTCAATATACTTTTAAATTTTCAAAATAAAAATTGGGGGGGTAACGGACCTTTTTTCCTGAAAATACATCGAAATTAACGAAATCACAGTTATTTTATATGGGTTATATCGGGGAAATTCATTTTTCCTTATTGAGGAAACATTAAAAGAAAGAATTGGTAAAAAATAATTGAGAAAATTGCTTTTCATAAATACTTCCGAAACAGCAAATAAAATAGGGGTCACGGTTACGTACTTTCTTGGACATGTTGGAAAATAAAAGAAAAACAGAAATTGTCCTATCGAATACAATATGTATTATACACTTAATGAAGGTAGCGCGGATGTCTTCCGTCATCTATGATAATTCTAATATAGCCGAAAAAAATCGATCTAGATCTTTAATGAAATGTTCCATTTTTCGAGAGATGAATGTAATTCATTTGTTACATTTTTCATTTTAATAAGGAAATTATGTGTTTTATCATACTTTTGCGATTATTCTTTTGCAGAATAGTTTTGTTTGATTCACTTTTTGAACTTTGCAATATAAGAGGAGATATTACTCATATAATGTAACTTTTATACTGGCATCTGTTATTGATTTACTCATTTTGGTTTTTAGCAAGAAACGAGACCCGTGACCGTATTGTTTTCATTTTATTCTCTGAAAAACCGATATAAGAGCTATCTTCTCATATTTTATCTTAATATTCTATCTTTCAGTTTTCTTTCTATCACACAACATTGTGTTTTTCATCAATTACCTATACAAATCTGACAATTTTGCACAACTTGAAACTTGAAAAAAGTCCCATGACCCATACATTTATTACATATTTGAAAGCGCCTTGATATAGATAAAGGCAACCGTAGTATACCGCTGTTTAATAGTCATAAATCGATTAAGCGAAAATAAATCCGGGTCACAAACCAAAACTGAGGGAAACACATCAACTAAAAGGGGAAAACAACGGAACAACAGAAACACTGAACGGCAACAAATACAAACGCCAACATACATAGAAACGGACTATTTGATAACAACTGCCATATTCCTGACTTGGTACAGGACATTTTAAGAAAAAAAGGTGGGTTGAACCTGGTTTTATGGCTAGCCAAACCTCCCGCTTATAAACTACATTTCAGCAAATTATGAAAACATTCAATAGATTTTAATTTAAACCCCCATCTACCTTAACGACATCTAATTTTTGTGATAGTTTAATCTTTAAATTTCAAGATTTAGACGTTTTTGTCGTATATCAAATTATACTTCTTAAAATATTTTAAATCCAATAAAGTAGTTCTGCAACATGCCCAAAAGGGATGCTCAGAAAGAGACCCCAAATCTACCTTAATATTGAAATCATCAGCCCATAAGAAGAATTTGGAAAAATTAATTTTTTAACCTTTTCAAAAGCAAATATGATTGTATCATATCAGTGCAATGAAATGTGTTGCTCTTCAACAAAATTTCATCTCACCCGTAATTGAATTCGAGTTATACAGTCTTCTAACCCATGAAAGTTTCATTCTCTGTATAAGTCTTTTTCAATTTAACATTTTTACAACATCCATATAATAATCGTGACATCATATGAAATATTAAATGTGTATCAATATATCGTCAAACGGTTCAATACACTATCTTTGTTCCTTGATTGAACCATATTGATTTTGGTCTTACAAACACATTTGTTTTAGTAATGCAAAACGTATGGGAAAATATTTCATACATTTGGCTTAAAGCGAGTAACTATTATTATGATACATTGTAGTTATTGTCCTAGAAATCATTGCATTAACAGTGATTTTAACACACATGAATACTAAAACATAAATTTAAATGGCGCATGTTAGTTTGATTTGATTGGTGGACATCAGATTATGAATACCTACAAGGGGACAACCAAATGACAAAAATTACAATTGACAGTCTTTAATTTTTCATTGCATTTTGTAAAAAAATAATGGTTTATTTTACAAGGTGTGATAGTGGTCGAGTTCTCATAGTCCTTTAATCTTTATGCAATTTATTATTGAATCGGTCCAGTTTTAACATCACTGACATTTATTCTTGAAATAATTGAAAAAGGATTAGATGTTTAGACAGGCCATTGCATCGGTATTGCAAACATGTCTTGCGAGATCTGAACCCTCCCTCTATACCTCTAGCCAACACACACACAACAATACGCATAGTAAAAGAAATCCGAATCCTATGTTAGAATAAGTAACAGAAGAAACAAAGCAAAATGACAATAATCAAAATGAATTATCATGACTACTAGCAGTTATTGACATGCCAGCCCCAGACCTCAATTAAACTTATTAAAAGTTTATGTCTTATTTATATGAAAATGAAGCACAATCCCGCCCGTTGGGGGGTAGTATCATACCATCATAAAATATACGAGAAGACTATAACCCGTATGTAAGATGTATACTCTAGAGGAATTCTGTTCTTTGTTTTTGGTTTCAGACAAGATGGATGTGAATATAAATTCTTCTGTAATAAATGTTACCAACTCTCTGGAAACAGGCACGAACGACATATTGTTAGCAGTGAGTATAATTCAGACCGGTAGTCAGTACTTTTTGTGTTAACATGAATTATCATTGATATGGTCATAATTGAAGATTAACTGATCATGAAACTTCGAATTGTTCTAAATTCTAGTACTAAGGATTTGACTCCAGGAATTTTCTTTCAAATTGGCAAAACATTTTTGGATTTTGGGTCTATAATGTTCTTCAACTCCGTACTTGATTTTCACCTTTTTTTAATCGAGCGTCACTCATGAGTCTTTGGTAAACGAAACGCGTGTCTGGCGTACACAATTTTAATCTTGTATCGCTCTTTATAATTAATTCATTTTATTTACAATTAACCACTGGATGCCACACATGTTGGAGGTTTCCTCCCCAAAGGTATTATCCGTCAAATAGTGAGCAATTCTGTGTGCATTATCATGATATTGTCAACATTATGAATTAACTGTTCACAAAACTTTTAATTTTTTTGAATACTAAGAAATTATACCCAAGAAACAGATTACCATAGGTGTATTTGGCAAAACCTTTCGGAAATTTTGGTCCCGAATGCTCTTTAAATTCATTCATACTTCGTACTTTATTTGACATTTTAAACTTTATCTATTTGAGCGTCACTGATCAGTTTATGCTTATTCTGGTTTTTATGATGAGTTTTTTCTTTCTACAATACGTTGGTTACTACAAAAAACTCAGTTCTGTAAAAAAGGCCTAAGATATAAAAATAAGAAGATCTGGTATGATTGCCAATGCGACAACTCTCCACCAGAAATTAAATGACAAAGAAGTTTACATATATAGGTCACCGTACGGCCTTCAACAAGCGTACATTTTCTTTTAATTGTGTTCATACATCACAAGACAAGGTTCTTGTTATAGTATGTCCAATCTTATTTCTGTGAAAATACTCAAGGGTGCAGAGCTTTCACAATATTTGATATTTATTATGATTTGCCTCACTATGTAACTCAAGCAACAGTTATGCTTCTCAGGTTGAGAGAGGACTCCATCACAGATTTGAGACTTTCAAATACGTTTTATTCCATTAAAACATATCAATTGATTGCTTGTTCCTTATAACTGTCAAGAAAAGTTTATTTCTCTAGACATGCTAATTAAATTATGTAATCATCAACTTCATCAATGTCATTTTTGGCAACTTATTCATATAAATGCCAATAACTCTGTTTTGGTGACATGTTTGAAAAACTAATTTCACTCAAAACACGTGTTGAGCTTGAAAATAATTGGCAATAAGCGACCTTTGCCTTAAAAATTTCCTGAAAAATTAAAGAATACAGAAATGAAGGCCTGCCCATCCAGAGCCTCGTTTATATCCTGCTGTTTACTTTTATGTACAAACACCTATCATTTTTACACAGTTTGATTTAGAAGAAAAACCGACATGCTATATTAATATTCTTGCAATGGTTAGAAAATACATCATTACCAACTTAATCCCAATTTTTTATTCTATTTTTAGAAAGGTAACTGTGACGTCACTTTTTGTGGCGTCGACACATTCGTGTGACGGACAGTTCATTATTCTATTATGTTGTATTTGTGTTCTGTCGTAAATAAATTTTAGGTGTTCGTTGTTATTCTGTGGTTTACATGTTGAAATGTACTATTATATTATTTATTTATGTATTTCTCTGTCCTGAATGTTCTTGCATCTATTCTTACTGTATTCCTGTCACGTAATATGTCATTTTAGCGGTATTTTTAACATTGCCATGTAAGCGGGAGGTTTGGCTAGCCATAAAACCAGGTTCAACCCACTATTTTTTAAATGTCCTGTACCAAGTCAGGAATATAGCAGTTGATATCACATAGTCCGTTTGTATGTATGTTGTCGTTTGTTTTTGTAGCAGTTCAGTTTTTCTGTTGTTCCGTTTTTTTTTTTCCTCTTATAGTTGATGTTTTTTCCTCAATTTTGGTTTGTGACCCGGATTTATTTCTGTTAAATCGATTTATGACTATGGAACAGCGGTATACTACTATTGCCTTTAATGTCCGATTTCGCCAACGGTGATTAATTCTGATCATTCATTAGACCAATTTCACATTTTATTTATATCGATAAATATATCATTGTCAAATGGGGACTAATCATACAAAACAATTCAAATGAAATACAAATTATTGTCACATTAACCTTTTGTTTCTGTTTGGGTTGCTCACCCATTTTTGTCAATATAACGGAACTATAAACAACTGTCATAAACAAGTGGGTGGTTTAGCTAGCTATAAAATCAGGTTTAATCCACCCTTTTCTACATAAGGAAACGGCTGTACCAAGTCAGAAATATGACAGTGTTTTCCAAAAGTAAAATCACAAAAATACTGAACTCCGAGGAAAATTCAAAACGGAAAGTCCCTAATCAAATGGCAAAATCAAATGATAAAACACATCAAACGAATGGACAACAACTGTCATATTCCTGACTTGGTACAGGCATTCTCAACCGTTTGATGTGCTTTAGCTTTTTATTTTGCCATTTGATAAGGGACTTCCCGTTTTGAAGAATCCTTGGAGTTCGCTATTTTTGTTATTCTATTTTCTAATATCATGTCAATAGCAAACATATCAATTCTGCTTCTACATATTCGCATCTTGTTAAGGATTGAGATATTTTTTTTGTCATATTTTATATAAAATAAGTAGTTTTATCCTGTATTTTAACATTGATGCTTATAAACGCTTTTTTTTAAATTCCCAATCGGAATCATTGAATCTGGTAAAAATCGGCGTTGCTTACCTGTTTAAAGCAATCAATTTGTAAAGTTGAAGTCTTTATCTATAGTTCTCAATGGCGTTGAGAGAGTTAACGGGCAGTTGTATTTTATGAAGAACTACAGATAAAGATTGATTGATGATCGTATTACACGCATGAACACAAAACAGATACATAAGAGTGTCAAACTAATATATTAATGCTGCAAGTCAATCTTCCTCAATTGAGACTTGCACACTTTGAAATTGCTCAAAGAAATATCTGTGCAATGTGAATGTATTTTTACAACTTTCGAATTGTATCATGTGTTATGCAGTGCTTTTCGATTTAGCCTATTGTTTTAGCAGCACTTCTCAAATGTTTTAGTATCCCTGACTATAATCATTACTCCTAGTGCAATTTTCATACGGACTTGTTGTCCTTTAGAAATAAACTTGCATTATTGATTACTTTAAATAATTAATGAAAAAGATGGCTAGAAGCAATTGACGCAATGAGATAATGTTGACAAATGTAATTGAAGCATGCAATCGGTGTTAAAAGAGAGTCTACTAGTTAAAAAAAACGTCATTTTTCATCTGCTCAAAATATACAGTTAAAATGAAAAGAAATGTGTTTCTTTCTATTTGGTTTTTTTTTCTGTTTCCAGATTATTATATCTGGATGGATATGTGTAGCAGAGGGGATATTAACAGTCATTTTCAATGGTCTTGTAATCGTTTTGTTAGTGAGAAGGAATATTAAGTCAAACATGTCTTTCCTTTTGTTAAACTTAGCTATTGCAGGTAAGAGTTAAAAAATATTTATCTCTTAATAATTATTAAACTTCATGTCAAAATGCCAGATTTTGATTGGTTAATTCGAGGGGGATAATTTACTCTATCCCATGACAAATACTCTTTTACCCTACTTAGCTATTGCAGGTACGAGTAACAAAATATCTAAGATCTACAAATATGACATTTCGTTATAGATGATAGCTAAAATAGGCACTCGGTACAAGGTACAAAAGTAATAATTCGGAAAGAAACCGACAAAACCATTGCAAAAAATAAATAGAAATCAGAATATATGAGTATTTTGTTGTTTTAAAACAAGAAAAAAAAAGAAATAAATTGATTTAAATTATGTATTTCTTTTTATCTTTGATTTATCATGTCATGCATATAGTCTATTTCATAAATAGTTCTATCGTTTAAATAAACACTTATTTCGTTCAGCTTTTTTTTCTATATATCTCTCGCACATTATTAAAAAAATTTATCGCCTCTCTCACAATGCATAGGGCTAATCGAATTTATACCTGTAGTATTCCTCTTCAAAGCATTAAGCCTGTTCATACTAAACAGTTTTCATGGAAAAACTACTGGTATACATTTAGCTCACTGGGACTTTAAGCCCAAGCATCATTTGGCATCCGTCGTCGTCTTTCGTTGTCCGAAGTTTGTCCGTCGTTGTAAATGTTTTTAATAAAAATCGTCAATTAAACTACTAGACCGAATGTTACCAAACTTTACCTCAATGTTTCTCATGGAATCTAGTTTAAAATTTGTATCCAGGGATTTGATCCTTCAGCAAATTGCTGTTGCTAAATATAGAACATAGGATAAAACTGCAATTTGTGGCTTATAACTCAGGAACTAATTTTATTGAAAGCAGTTAGAGCAAAACTAGCGAGATAAAAATCATCAAGAAAGATCTATCTTCTTTCAAAAACATTGGATAACCCATGTTGAGTTTTTGTCCCTGAAAAATCCATTTTAGCAAATGTCATAGTTTTTGGAAAACTATTATAGATAGATCCAAACTTTAAATGATAAAACTGCCTAGAACATCAAGGTCTACAAATAAGTCTGCACGATCGAACTTGTCAATTAACCCTTATAGGTTTTTTCATTTTTTTTGGAAACTATGGTAGATAGGGAGAATTTTTTGGAAGAAAATAAGATCAGCAATATACAATCTAGCCAAGTAGTCAACACTTCCGTGCTGATGTGAATCATCATTGATATGGTAATATTTACATGATTTATGAATGAACTGTTTACAAAACTTTGAATCCTTTTTCCCCAGGAATAGAGTATAGATTATAGCTATATTTAGCAAAACCTCTCCAAAAATTAGTTCATCAATGCTCCTATATCTCGTACTTGATTTGGCATTTTAATTTTGTCATATTCGATCGTCACTGATCCGTTGATTGTAAACGAAACGCGCGTCTGTCGTACAAAATTATAAGCTTAGTATCTTTGTTTTTTTATCTACAAAAGTTCAGCATTACCAAAATTATGAAGAAAATCATTATAGAAGTTTTTTAAAGTCTTTAAAGTCGATGTGTAATTTCCCTTTGATATCGTTTTTTTTTTGTGAAATAATATACGAAAATTGTTCAGCTAATTAAGTAGGATCTGCAAAGAAATCAACATGGCCAAAATTGTCCATTTGGCGCTTTATAGGAGTTATTGCCCTGAAAAGCCGGTTTTTATAATTTTTTGCATTCTTTTGCAGAATCTATAAAAGATAAAAAAAATGTAAATAGCGAAGGTGTTAGCACGAACAGATATGTTCATAAGTCAAATAGCAGAAAAATGTCAACCTATTCCATAGTAGGTATAAGCCCCAAAATGATAAAGTTTTACGCACTATTGATTTTTTTCCTGAAACTTTAATAGATAGAGAACAACAATTAATAGCAAAAGAGTTCAGCACAATAAGGTCTTCAAATAAATTACACAGTTAAATTTATAAACTGACTCCTTATAGTAATTATATTCCCTTTAAGACGACTTTAACGCATTGTTTGCATTTTGTCAACATAAATAGTAGATTGATACCCTCATTTACTAATAGTTTAGTAAGCGTGTGCTTTTACCAATGATCTCTTAATCTGTAAAAGTTAGAAACAAAATATAAACAGTAAATTGATCATCAATACAAGATCAACAGAAATGCCACTGAATAAGATTTACAAATATGCACACATTACTGATTGCAATAAAGTTAAAAAAAGATATAAAAAAATAAGAATATTTTACCAGGTGTGCGATTGATTTAGTATTAGACGATTTTCTGATTAAACAGACTATTCCCGCTGCAATGAAAATAACACTTTAAACATTAGGTGTGTCCGAAGCGCTTCTCCGGATTATTTTTCATTGTGAATGCTCAACGCAATAGTTTAAGGTTTAAAAACAAAAGGATCATAGAGAGGAGACCAAGATTCATTTAAGGTCAACTTTGTATGAAGGAATCAGAATACTAGTTTCTTAATAAATTAAAAACCTATGAATAAAAAAATTGAGAAAAGTAACGTATAAATCGTGTCAGTAGCGAAGCACTAACTATACGATGCTGATAGCCTCAGGAACTACAAATCAACAAGCAGTGGTATTTATCCGGTGCTAAAAAGCATTAACAAAACTTTATAAATTTGGAGCATAGGTCCAATCAAAATGCAAATGTTGTATTTGTTTCGATATATCCAATCTGATGATTGATTTTTGAAAGTTATTTTTCGCAACGAGACTTTTATATTTGAAGGAGGTATATTAACAACATTTTAAGTGAAAAACAAACATATCTGCTCTTGCAGAAGACAAGGGTAAAATATATGAACAGGTAGAAAACATTACCTCTATACAGTGTAAATATAACAAAAATGAAAAAAAAGTATAAAACAGAACTTTTGATATTTTACAGCGTGAATAGTACATCTATAATACGTAATGTAACATGTATCTTATGTTCAAACATTTACATCATATCACTCAATTTAAGTTGTTGAGCCAGATAGGGATTGTTTTCTTTTAGATTTGTCAGTAGCAGTGCTGCACGACTTTCCAAGGGCAGTTCAACAACATTATAACTGGACATATGGACGCTTCTTATGTGTGAGCTTCATGTATACACAGGATGTCGCTCTGTTTGCTTCGACATTTTTATTAGTATCCCTGAGTGTTGATCGACTTGTAGTATTAGCTCGTCCACTATGGACAGGTAGACAGAAGATTTTAACAAGATCCTGCATGGTATTAATTCCTTGGATAACGGCAATATATCTCAGTACACCATTCTTGAAGAGTGGACTTTATCGCTATCGTGGACAAATATGGTGTACTCCATTCTTTGCTGGGTTGTATGGAAAGGTTTGTATACTTCGTCATGAAAGTATTGTTATCAATGTCAAAGTTAAGGTTCCAAGCACATGATTTACCAATATGATTAAAATAAAGATCATGTGTCCACGCTTTGTTCATAAGGATCTGAAAACACTTAGTTCTATTTTCTGTTCTGGTATTTTCTATATCAGCAATTTTAATTGCTATCTCAAAATTTTTGAAGGCTTGTATCAGTACAACAAATCTGAAGATCCTGAAAGGTCTTTAAAACAGTAAGTAGAAGGAGCGTTGTCAGAACCTTGTAACCTGCTTACCTTTCCAAAGCACCTGAGATCACTTCCAGTTTTTTATGTTGATCAGTCTTTATCATGTTTATTTTTCTATGTTGTGTTTTGTGTACTGTTGTTAGTCTGTTGGTCTTTTCTTTCTTAGCCATGGCATTGCCAGTATATTTTCGACTTATAAGATCCCGGACGAGCCTCCAATTTCTGTTACGGTCAGAAATCACGTTTAAATTGTAGCCAACAAAAGACACATGATCGTCAATAAATACGTATTTCCAGTCTTGGTCTTTGGTAAAGGTCCAACGCAATCAATGAGTACTCGCTTGAAAGGTTCTTCAAAGGCAGAAGTGGTGCTGGTGGTATTTTCTGGTTAGGCTTACCAACTACCTGGCATATATGGCACGATTTGCAATATTCTGTGACACCATTTCTAAGTCTGGGCCAGTAGAAATGTTGCAAGACCTTTAGGCAAGTCTTCCTTATACCTAAATATCCATCTAAGGGGGTGTCATAGACAAGACCAATAATGTCTTGCCTATAGACTTTAGGCACCACCAATTGGTATACCACTCTCCATTCCTCCTCTGGGGTAGCATCAGTGGCCTCCACTTCCTCATTATAATACCGTTTTGATGACTATAGCATTCGGCATCTTTGTCTGCTTCCTTTTGTGGTTGAGTCCTTTTGCGGAGCTGAAGAACTTTATTTTTTTCTTCTACAAATTTTCTTCTGTCTAATGAATGTCTGTTCACGTCTGGCCATGGCATAATTACATGCTTGTTTGTACTAGGTGGTTTAATTATGGACTTTTGAGCTACAGGAATCTTCAATGTCGGCAAGGAAAGTGTCAGAAAGGTCCATATAATCATACTGGTCTTCTTGTAAATTCTCATTTTATTGTTTTTTTACATTCGCCCTACTAACAACACAAGCTGGACACAGTTCAACATCATCATCCGGTGATTTGGCATCTACCATCGTTTCACTGGAAACAATTGGTTCAGCAACCACTTTGTTCCTAGCTTGATCATTTCCTAGCAATAATGAAACACCCTCAACAGGGAGATTAGGACGAACACCCACAACTGGTCCAGTAATCAAATCTGACTTTAGATAAATACGATGGAGGTTAACATCTATACAACCTAACTCCACACCTTTTAACAAAACGGAGGCACCAACAGAAGTCTCCACAGACAAAGGCAACACACTTTCTAACAATAAAGTCTGAGAAGCTCAAGTGTCCCGTAAAATCTTATTAGGCTGAGGAGTAGTATTATCAACAATAGAAACATGCCCATCAGAAATAAAGGGTATATATTCCTCCATGTAATCACAAAAACTGGACTTACAAACCTGACTCGCAGGACATTCCAACTCATTAGTAACAAGGGGTGTCGTACACGCACTGGATTTGGGCTTATTATCTCTTTCATTCTTTTTCTGGAGTCTAAAACAATCAACCATCAGGTGACCATGTTTCTTTCAATAAGCACAAGTTAGTGACTTCTTCTCAAAAGTATCAAATTTTGGACTAGACATATTATAACTAGACTGACTCTTATTCTGTGCAACAAGCACACAATCAGTACGCTCAGTACTTTGATTTTTGAAATTTCCGCTCGCAGTATTAAAATTTTGACTTTTGAAATTTCTTTTATGAGAAAGGATATAATGATCGGAAACAACAGCTGCATTTTGCAATGTCTCAACAGTTTTGTCCTCTAAATGCGTTTTTAAGTCTAAATGAACACATTGCTTGAACTCTTCTAATAACATCAATTGTCTTAGGTTATCAAAATTGTTATCTATTTTCTTTGACGTAAGGCATTTATCCAATAGATCTTCTATTTCCCTAGCAAATTCGACATAGGTTGTGAATCAAACTTTTTATAAGACCTAAGTTTCTGTCTATACGCTTCTGGCACTAGCTCATAAACTTTCAAAACTTCTTGTTTTACAATGTTATAATCAGAACTTTTTTTCTGATGAAAGTGCTGAGTAAATTTCAGCGGCCTTATCCTCATAAACATTTTGCAGCATTGTAGTCTAATAAGGCTTTGGCTATTTAAAATTTTGAGCAATTTTCTCAAACTGTGGAAAATATTTATCAACTGTTATTTCACAAAATCTGATAACCCGACGTATACTTTTGGCTGCATCAAAATGTTCTGATTTTGACTCATATTTAGTGTTGCTTTCTACTTTGACCATTTCTATTTTTATATTCTCTATCTCTAACCTTTTCCTCATTTCAAGTTCTGCCTGTTTTAATTCAAATTCATCTTCTTTTTCTAATTCAAGTTGTTTTAATTTAAATTCATGTTCTAATTCAAGCTGTTTGATTTGAAAGCATCAACATTTTCGACCTTCAGTTCAAGAGCCTCTTCACCAAAAATTTCTGAGTCAACCAAATTGTCTATTACCAAATTTTTAATAATTTGTTTTCTTATAGATCCTCTAAAATCAATTTGTAGTTGTTTAGCAAGCAACACTAATTCTTCTTTCTTTAGTTTATTAAACCCGTTCAGGTCTGGCGTTTTCAAAAAAATAGAATTTTGTTGGCTAATTCTAATTCTATAAATACAGAAAAATTTAATCTGATATTAACGTGATCCCGGATGAGCCCCCAATTTCTGTTACGGTCAGAAATCACCTTCAAATTGTAGCCAACAAAAGACACAAATCACTAATAAAATTGAACAAGATTTATTATACGCAAGTTTACAGGAAATATTATACAAATTGAAATGTCAATTTAACTGTTAAAATATATGTCCGATCCTTTTGTCTTTTCTTAATATGGAATTCTTCTCTTCACTGTTTCGGGAATCCGAACAGAATATTATGTCCAGTAAGTCACAATCTAGTATGATGTAGTTAACGTAAATAAAAGTGTCAATTCAACTGAGAGAACTTCTGAGAATACCAGTATATTAATGTCTAATCTTAAAGTTTAACTTTAGTGTCTGTATATATATATAGTTGTCATGGAAATCTCTAGAACACTATAGAAGTGAAACTCCTAGAAAACTATAGAACGGAAACTTCTAGAGTACGGTAGAAGTTTAAATTACACATCGTAGATTATGATCATTCCAGAATTATTATGTAAGTCAAATAGATAGTTCTAATCATTCCATCAGTATCTATGATTTTTGCAGTGATTTCTAAACTGCACAGTCATAACATTATTTTGTAAATAACTATAAGTATTATGTAAACATATTATACATGTTATAAGGCCACACAAAACAAATTAGGCCAAGATAAAAAAATATGATATAATATCATAACAGTTTGAAGGTCCGTTTGGTATCGTTCGCCTCTCTTTTGTAAGCGAAGGGTGAACACATGGTCTGTATTTCAATTAGAGTTTTGATTTACTGAGAGATTATTTGAAAACAAAACGATACTTCTTTGATCAGCATGATAAAATTGGGAAAAGAAACGGGGAATGTAAACATGAAAGCACAGTTATCATCTACCGAAGAGAAAGTACGATATTTGGCTAAATTGGTCAGTAAAAATTGTTTCAAATTTTCATGAATATTCACAATTAACTGTTCGGTTACGTACATCACTAGAATAGTTTTATCATTATATGAGGAACTTGATCTGCTAACCCTTCCGGAGCACCTGAAAAATACCCGCTTTTGGGTATGGATTGAGTTGCTTAGTCTTTAGTTTTATTATGTTGTATTTTGTATACTGTTGTTTGTCTTTTAAGCTATTTTTTCGCAATGACAATGGCAATGAAAGGTCCGTGTCCATGTTTTTGAAATATAGGCCATTGGAAATTTGAAATGGCTTTATAAACTATATGCAATATAATTATGAAAAGAAAATCAGGGGTAAGCGGGCACATTTTTAATGGCGCTACATTGAAAAATCTAGAGAATTCCGAACATCTGACAAAAAAGTAAAAAAAAATTAACTACAGAACCAAGAAAACTAAAATATGAAACGGGAGGTAACTTAAACAAAGGAGTAGGACGAACAACTAACTTAATTGTGTGCATGTTATGCCTTAGTTTAAAGTCTAAATTATTTGTGACTGCATCACTGAATACGTTCCCAATATTTTTTGGGGGAAAACAAATCGAAAGGCAAGCTGTTATTTGACCATGAATGTTTTTATATATCTATTTTTAGTAACTTTAAAATACATTTTATTGTAGGTATGGCTGCCAATACGATCGGCACTTTTAGTTATTATTCCAGGTGTTGTCATGGTAACGATATACGGTTATATTGCATATATTATTCGGGTCAGAAAGAGAAACGGTAACGTTACTACTGATAGCGAAGCACCAGGTAATTTGTTATAATTGTTTTGAACAGTAGACCGATAAAACATCACTAATTAGTCTGTTTGTGTTAAAATTACTCAATCACTCTGTGCCTATTTGTTTTTTTGTTTTTGTTTTTTTTACCCTATTTTTAAGCAAAATTGATTTGTTGATGTATTTGTTTAAAGTCTTAAGGTTTTTCGCAAAGAAGGATTTTTCACATGTAGACGTTTAAATTGTTTAACACTAGTCTTTTTTATCCCTTTATAGCTTGCTGTTCGGTGTGAGCCAAGACTCCATGTTGAAGGCCGTACTTTGACCTATAACTGTTTACTTTTTACACATAGTGACTTGGATGGATAGTTGTTTCATTGGCACTAATACCACATCTTCTTATTTATATCAAATAAGAAATGTGTATCTACGATTTCTATTTTGAGAGGACAAAACACTGCTTAATCAGAGGATATAGTCAATATTATAACATATGGGCATGATCGTGATTGAAGATTTTCGAGCAAATCTTGATTGAAAATGACAGTTGAGTAAACCTCATAACAATATTTTTGAAGGCCATCTTTAATTGTATAATGATACGTCACATCAAACTAGCTTTATTTAGTTCTTTAATAAGTCGGTCGAGTTTGCACATAAAAAAAAATCTTCAAAATAACTTTAATAAAATTGGGAAAGGAAATGGGGAATATTTCAAAGAGACAACAACTCGACCAAAGAGCAGACAACAGCCGAAGGCCACAAATGGGTCTTCAACGCAGCGATAAAATCACGCATCCGGAGGTGGTCCTCAGCTGGCCCCTAAATAAAATTGTGTACTAGTTCAGTGAAAATGGACGTCACACTAAACTCCAAAACATATAAATGGGAATCAACTTTGTATTTTTATTTTAGATGCTTTAAGAACAAATCAGTCTCGAGCATTAAGTAATGCAATGAAAAGAAGTATACTCATAACGTTTGTTGTAGGAATTGGTAGGTATTAAAGTTATTTCAAATGAATCATTTTTGTAACATCGATTTAAAGAAAACAAAATTTCTATAGCTGACTTTTTGCATGAATTGTCTGAGTAGATCACCGTCATATATATGACTTGGTACACTAAGTTTTAAATTACTTTATGCAAGCTTGCACAAAAAACGGGTTTTTAAACATAAAAGTGATGCTTGAATTTGCCAAAATCGTCAAAATAAAACATGTCAAAGCAAATCTAAAGATCTAAATTAAATACATTCCCAAAAAAGTACCTGAAACTTTAAAAATCAGAATACTTATGACATTTTTCTTTCACGTTTATTCAAATCCCTTAAAGGGCTTATATTTATGGATAAAGTCATTTTGTGTCTTATTGTTTTCGCCTTTCATATGATATAAGGTGAAAACGCGAAGTCGAAAACGTAAAAACTCGAACACAAAAACACGAAAAAGTGAAACGGCTTCACTTCCCATTTTCCCTTTTTCTACTTCGCCTTTTATAAAGCCGAAAACGCGAAATGGCTTTATCCCGCCACCATATATATCCATTTAAAACAGAGGTGTATATATGTAGATCATTCGGTATTCAAACCACACCAATGACTAATTAAAATCATATTTTTTGTATCATTTTTTGTTATCTCGTTCCATCAACAAAAGAGAGGCCAAAGTTATATTAAAACTCATATATCGAAGACAAACTGACAACACCATGGCAAAAAAAAAACAATAATTTACAAAACACCATATATAAAACTAAATATTGAGCTACACGAACCCCACCTTTAAACGGGGTGATCTCACGTTCTGAGAAAAGGTAGGCAGATCCTGCTCCGCAACATTTTCTAGAGAGCTAACTCAAAACAAAAGCAAACAAAAAAACTTTATCTATATAAGTATATGATAAATGTATCATGATTTTATAGCAGTAACCTCATTTTTCAGCTTTCATCTTATGTTGGCTGCCATCAACACTGGCGACATACACAAACTTAGTATCTTTAAAAAGTCTTGGAGAAGCCTTCTACATAATGACAGCTCTATCTCCACTAAACAGCTTAATAAACCCAATAATTATTCTTTCAATAAACCATAGAATGTTTAGACCAGGACGAAAAGCAATTTTGTTAACTAAATTCACGTTGACAATGTCATTAAAAAGTCCCGGTCGTTCACGGCGTGCATATGTGAATGCATTACCCAAATTATAAACAAAATACAATCACTGATGAGTCTTATGTAGACGAAACGCGCGTCTGGCGTATTAAATCATATTCCTGGTACCTTTGATAACTATTTACACCACTGGGTCGATGCCACTTCTGATGGACGTTTCGTTTCCGAGGGTATCACCAGCCCAGTAGTCAGCACTTCGTAGTTGACATGAATATCAATTATATGGTCATTTTAATAAATTTCCTGTTGACAAAACTTCAAATTTTTCGAAAAACTAAGGATTTTCTAATCCCAGGAATAGATTACCATAGCCAAATTTGGCACAACTTTTTCGAATTTTGGGTCATCAATGCTCTTCAACTTTGTACTTATTTGGCTTTATAACTATTTTGATCTGAGCGTCACTGATGAGTCTTATGTAGACGAGACGCGCTTCTGGCGTATTAAATCATAATCCTGGTACCTTTGATAATTATTTAGTGTAACTTTTTCAATTTACCCAAATATTTACTTATTCGTAAGATTAACATATTTCTGAAAACAGTTATGTAAGACATTTTAAACTCTTATGGTATTACTGCTTTTGATTTAATATGAAATGTATCAATATTGTAGTATTTTTAGGTATGAATGATTTTATATAATATGTTGTTTGAGTGCTGGATGCAAAGGTTTGTTTGAGTGCACCACTTCACAGTAGACAAATGATGAATGAGTTACCCTCTTTCATATCACCGGGTTTGTACTTACATGAGCAACACGACGGGTGCCACATGTTGAGCAGGATCTGCTAGCCCTTCCGGAGCATCTGAGATCACACCAGTTTTCGGTGGGGTTCATGTTGCTCAGTTTTTGGTATTCTATGTTGTTTTGTGTACTGTTGTGTGTCTGTTTGTGTTTTTTTTTAGCCATGGCGTTGTCAGTTAATTTCGACTTATGAGTTTAAATGTCCCTTTGATATCCTTCGCCTCTCTTTTTTAAGTGAAGAATTCATTATTATTGTAATCATGTTTATTATTATTGTAATCATATTTATCATTATTGCAATCACGTTTATTATTATTGTAATTATGTTTTTTTATTATTCTAATCATGTTTTTTACTATAATAATTGTAATCATGTTTATCATTAAAGGTATTAATTTTTTTTTCATTATTATTCTAAGACATACTGAAGTGATTCTGTAGATTCTTCTATTTAGAATATTAAAACTTCTACAATTATGGTTTATCAACAATTTGTAATAGAAGTTTAAAGTTGATAACTTTATTTCAATTCATTAATTGTTTCCATAAACTTACAGCACTTTTGATACGCATTTTTATGGTCAATGAGTTTTACACAAGGGACTACTTCAGCTTAACCATTTAGAACCTTTAATGAAATAGCTTCATTTTAGCAGTTACTCTCTTTCAAGGAAATCATGATAGGAAAAAAGTAAAATCATAAAAATACTGAACTCCGAGGAAAATTTAAAAAGGAAAGTCACTTATCAAATGGCAAAATCAAAAGCTCAAACACACCAAACGAATGAATAACAACTATCATATTCCTGACTTGGTACAGGCATTTTCTTATGCAGAAAATGGTGGATTGAACCTGTCAATTTCTAAATGTATGTCAAGATATTTTGCAGACTCCCCTGTATATGTTGTATTGTTTATTTTAAATTCATTGGGATTGATGCAGTAAACGTGGTCAACAAACTAATATATTAATTGAATGGACATCATCTATAAACCGCAACTTAAAGTTAAATTTTTAATGTTTGCCTCTTTTCATTTTTTAGAAGCTTTCGTATAAATTCTGCCTCATAAGAATAAAGAAACAAGTCTGCAAGCAGAGGGACACGTTTGATTCCAATAGGAATGCCGAATGTCTGTTGAAACATGTTCTCCAAACGTTACAAATTCATGTATGATGTTAAAATAAATCATGCATCTTGATTATGTCAGTGTTTTGTTGTTTGGATCAGAGTGTTCTTTACAAATTATGACTTCTCCCTTCGGAATAAGAAACATGTTATCTACGATTGCCATTTCGTTTTATGAAACAGCGTTTGACTAATTCCATCAATTTTCTTTTATTTTAGAATGTAAAACCGTGTAAGTACGGGAAACAAAACAAAAAATTCTAAATTCATGTGAATAAAATAATATGGAATGAGGGATGATTGATTATTTAATCTTTTTATTTCTTTTTAAGCCATGGTATCGTCAGTTTATTTTCAACTTATGAGTTTGAATGTCCTTTTGGTATCTTTTGGACTCTCTTTTTTAGACAGATTTCCATCAAAGACCAAGAGACAAATCGGTAAACAACTATAGGTCATCGTTCTATCTTTAAAAAATAGCTATTAAAAGCCCCCAAATAACAAAATGTGAAATATTTCAAAAAATAAAGTAACTAGTAACACTATGAAAAGGCTTATAATAATTAAACTTAGTATGCAAGACTGTAACTTACGACAACCACTGAACAACATGCTCAAAAAAAGAGGGATGCTTAGCAAAAGAGGGATTTTTTTGCACTATATTTTATCTTTTTTCTGGCCTATACGGACTAAACGGGCGAATCGGCAATATGTTTCAGTGTCTTCTTTCATATTGTTTTGGAGATGTGAGGTATTCAAGGTCAATAAAACAGGAACCCTAACAACTCACGAAACCAGAAGACATAATTTTAGATTAGACAGGACTATCTCAATGACATTTCAGTCTCTAAATCGCCGACAAAAACTATAATTTTTTGTTCATTTTCAGATGATGCATGATCTGGTTATAGTTCTTGGATAGGCTTAAGCTGATTACCACTTTAATGCTTTATGTTATACATTTCTTTTGCCCTGATATTTCTATTGAACAGACTACTAATGTTACCATCTTGTCATTCTAATTTGGTGATTGATTTTTCCTTGTACAACTCTTTATGACATGTTTTCCCCAAGGAAACAGTTAGAACTATCTGGTGTTTTTCCTGTCAGAAAAATTCACCACAACTAAAAAATAAGAAGGTGTGGTATACTTTTCATTAATGCAACTGTTCACAAGCGTCAAAATGACAATCAATGACAATGGCAAATTCCCTATATGTGACTTTAATTGCTTCCTTATACTAGTAGCCCCATTCGTGATTTCTTAGATAATTCTTCGAGGGTCGTGACCGAAATTTAAGAGAGCAAAAATTTTTTCAGTATTAATAGGTTCATTTTATTCACTTCCTTGTTAAAATCAAAAATAAAATTTGGGCCATTTACACAGACAATCATCCACCCTTAACATTTCAGATTCAAATTATAGTTAACAAACTTTAAAGTTTCATGAATACCCATCGAATATATTACAAATTTAAGAATCTTTGCATAATTTTTATCTCATTTAAAAGATGGTAGATTTGTCAAGGGACTTCATTAGTAGATACTGGACTGGTATCCTGTAACTGGGATCCTATTCCTATCAAACCAGATAATCATCTTAAAGAGAAGAAAAATCGTGTTATTTGCTGAAAGAAATCATGTATTTTCAATAAAGTCAAAATGTGTTTGTCTTTGATTTGTGTATTTCATAGCCAGAAACAAGAAGCAACCACTTCACACAAAAAAGAGCATATTTTCAGCCAAAATTTAACCCATTCAAATTTTCAGTTTGAAAATAACTTTTTTATGCAGGAAATGTTATATGAAAGTATTTCCTAATATCATATGCACCAACAACTTAATTTTAATTTCAGCAAAATGCAAATATGAGTAAAATGAAATATCTTTGATATATGTTTACGATGGCTTATATTTATCTTCAACTACAACCAAAGAAAAAATTTCAGACATAAATATGTGAATAATACAAGTGAAATACATCTGTTCGGAGGGATAAATCCATATTCACATGAAAACCTTATGAAAGAGCATATCGGACTATGTTACAATTTGGTAAAATTTTGGTGTGTTGCTGTAGAAACAATAAATATGCTGGTTTTTGCCAATTGTTTTTACAAAATTGAATATCTGAATGAGAATTGTCAAAATTTAGCTTATTTTTCATTAACCGTCTCATATAAAACTGCATATTACAGACAAACTATGTCTTCAAAGTTCTAAACTAGGACTATTTTGACCCTAACTATACATCTAGCTTACTACAGAATTAATCAGTTTTATTGATGTCTATATTTCATGGTCCAAAATTGCCATGGCTGATTTTTGTTGCTTATTTTCTTCAGGTGTGCCTTACCCCACCTGAAGAAATTAGGTCTGTGACAATGATGCATAACAGTTACTTGGCCTATTTTTTTATTTTTTTTTTATTATAAGTACAGTTTTCCCTTCATCTGTTTTCAATTTAATTGTATTAAGAGGCCATGTCAATAAGCATTGAGCTTTTTACTGTACAAACTTTGAATGTGCAAAAATTTAGATTCAGTTTAAAAATGTTCTTAATTGATTTACTATGTCATAAAGAATATGTTTAAGAAAATAAAATTCTTTTCAATCATGTCTTTCTCTCTTGTATCTGAGGAAAATGTTTCCTTAGTTACGAGTCCAAAGAGCGTACTAAAAATAGACAAAAATAAACACATTTGCAGGCCACCTTAATCAAACGTGTTACTAGGATTTTTTTTGGCCACCCTCTCCTTTAATATGGAAAAATCAAATAGTGTTTTTAAACTTGGACTTTGGTTCAGTCACGACTTCCCATAATTGCCGATGCAACGAGTAGCTTATTACTGTTTCAATGAAAGATTGAATGAATGAAATCATCGAACAAAGTTGAGTCTTTTTGAATTGTCATGAAATAATTTAAATGAATTACGACAAGTATAAAGTGAGGTCTGGCTCATATCATCATATACCATTTTTCTTGAATTTGGTATTGATGAAAAAATGTTAACTAGGATATATGAAAAATGTGATATTTACATTATCCCTTCAATCAATTTCCGAAAATAAAGAAGAAGCATTACATCAATCCCTAACTATGGTTGAAAGAATATTTGACGGATCCACTACTTATGTGTAATCCCTAATTGATGTTAACAGAAGTTGATCAACTGTTACAGTATACTTTTATTTTAAGCTGTACATATTAAACTAAAAGGCTTCCTGTATAATTGACACAATTTTATCTGACCAGTGACAAATTAGCATTGGCAAGACATACTTGTGTGTCAAAAATGGTAGTTAAGGAATATAATGCACAAAAGCAAAATATTCTTTCAAAAATTCTAAAGCTAAATTCAGTGAATATATTATGTCAAATGATTTAACCCAGTAACTAAATGTTTGTCCTGATTTCAGACTATCAATTGCTGTGTTGTGACTTTAACATAGCACATTCAAAATCAGTAGAGTTTTTTTCACTCCATAGGGCATTGTAACACCAAATGCGGTAAATAAAAATAAGCAAATGGTTCAGAGAATAACATTTGGAAACCATAATTTCTCATTTATTTCCTTTTGCATTACTTAAATAGTTGACCCAAAAAAACAATTGAATTTAACAACAAAGCCTCTTAAAAATGGAAAAAATGGAAACAGCAAAGTAAGATTTTCAAAATTGTTAACTTTACAGTTATATTCAACTACCGGCTTATACAAGTTATTGCCCTTGAAAGATGATTTTACTGGTTTTTAAGAATTTACTGAAATTAGAAATTTAGAATGGCATGTTTAAATACATATTTAATTAATAAGCATTGAATATCAAAAATATTCATTGATGCAAGATTTACACAAAAAATGACAGGTGAATAATACAGGCTCTCAAAAGACAATATTACACATAGTCTTTACATACAATTTACACCACATATGTTGGTTGCTATGCAATAAGCGGTGTTGCTTTAGATATTTTTAAATATCATTATGCATAATTGATCTTCGTTTGTTATTTTTGTTTTTATTCAGGCATTTTTTTATTTTAATTGTGCTTGTTAACCATGAATTTAGCTTTGGTATTTTCAAATATCAGTTGGTAACTAGGCATTTATGTCAAGAATGTAGTGTCGCTAAGGAGATTTTCGCATATCTTTAAGCACAATTGGACTGCTTTGGGGTTTTTTTTATTTCCCATCAGGCTTCAAGTGCCTTTTTTTGTGCATTTTGTTAAAAATCAACATTGTATATTTTCTGTCTCAGTTGGTTGCTATGC